CTGCTCTTGTGGGTAGTGATCTATATCAGGTCTCTTCACCTCTCTGAGCTTCAGCTTCCACATAAGTACAATGGCTCCGAGAAGGTAGGCCTATAACATTCTTCCATGTTTGTAGGACATAAATTATTGTGGTTGGTTTACTAGGATTACTTCTTCTGGACCTGTGGAAGGCTGTAGGGTCTTGAGATCTGGCCTCTTAGAAAGGTTCACTTCCTCTGTCCCCAACTTGGAAATTTATCCCAATGAATTATTCCAAGGACTTCTCCCACCCCACCTTGCCCTAGGAGGAAGGGCAGGGGCCTTGGGAATGTGATATATACTCCTAAGAGACACAAATTCTTACTTCCTCTCTTCCTTTCCTCCCTGCCAGAGTAACACCTGAGCCTCCAATCTGCTTTACAGTTCCCCAGTCCTCTGGTCCCCCAACCCCAAGGTGCTACCGTCAGCAGGCAGGCTCTGGTCCTCTGGAAATCTGGGCAGCATGAGAGGCAGTGTGCATTCCAAGACTCTTAGCTCTTCTTTCCCAGGTCTCTACTTAAGTATCTGAGGTGAGGGGGGGTATTCTAAATTCTCTTCTTGGCCATGCAGGGCACTGTGAAGGGACTAGGCCCTGAGGCTGCCCTCCAGGGATAGCCCTAGCCCTCATGGTAGACAGGCAAGGGTTAAAAGGTGTGGGCCGGCCCAGTTCCTGGCCAGGTAGGCTGGGCCATTACCTAGTGGGAGGCAGCCAAGGCATCCGCCACTGTTGCTCACTGCCACTGCCAGCCGAACCAGGACCCGATTGAGACAACTATTTTTTTTTTCTGAGGTACCCGAAGCTACCCCACAGCACTCTCTGACATTGGTGAGCACCTGGGAGTAGTGGGCCCAGGGGTGGAGGGGATGAGAGCATTAGGAACCAGGGTATGGTGTACTAAAGTTCCCTTCAGAAGAGAGCCAGGTCTGTGGGAGAGGTACACCAACAATGTGGGGTGGGGCTGGGGGGGGGTTCAGCACAGAAAGAGGGCTTGAGAATCACAAAATGTCCTACTTCCTTTCCTGGGACAAAGTAATTTGGGGCCGGAAATGGACGAAATGGACAGGGGAAGGATGGGGGAGAAGACACATGAGTTCCCCTTCTCCACTCCTCTTACTTCCTCTCTTCCTTTCCTCCCTGCCAGAGTAGCTTCTGTCCTTCTGCAACCCAAGGCCAATGCTTCTGAGAAGCCAGACTGAGCTGTTTGAAAAACCATTGTCTAGACACCTGCCTGCCCACTCCCTGTTTGTTCACCTAGAGTGGAGAAAGCTGGCACAGGGGGACTCAGGGGGCAATTCAGACTTTTGAGAATGTTCCAGGGGTGTCAGTGTGTGGAAATGGGGGGTCTTGGTGACAGTGTTGGGGTGCCACCCCGGTGAGGTGTCTTGGTTGTAAACAGTCATTACAGCCAGGAATTTCTCGGCTGTGGTGTCAGAAGGGCAGACCTGAAAAACCTGCTGGGCCCGCCTCTGGGTGTGGGGGGTGCCTTCTTGCAGCTCTCTTGCTGCAGCCCATCCCTGTGACAGGATGTCAGAACAGGGTCATGGGGTCATCAGTGGAGGTCCCAGGGGCCCGTGTGGGGACACGCTGGGGAAGAGATTGCTCAAATCCCTTTTCTACCATCTCTGGATAGGGACTTGGCAGCCCTAGGTTTCCAGGCAAGAGTGCAAAGGACATGTGAGTGGAGGCAAAGATTTTGGAGCCAGGTGTGGGGCGTTGACCCTGTGTCTAGCCTGCCCAGTGACCCCATGACTCATACCCTAGCTATGTCCCTGAGGTCAGGTCGACAGGGTAGAGTCAGGGTTCCTGTGTGGACCCTGTGTTGATTTCTAGGATAATCTGAGCTCCCAGAGAAGGGAGGATTGAGGTAGCCCCATGTGAAATGTGGGGCCACTCATAGTGAATGGGGTAAATGGGCCTATGTGGGGAGGAGTTGTGTTCCTTTGGTTGTGTTCCTTTTGAGATGGAAGAAGGTTCAGGGGAGCCTGGGAAAATTTCCCAAATCCAAATGGGACTTGGGTAAAGTAGGAACTCTAGGAGCCAAGGGGCAAAGAGAAGTTGAATTGGGACATCAAGGAAACCCTGCCATGCTGGGAAGGGTCATACCTTAGATGGGTAGCCATGTGAGGGCCTCTGCAAAGTACACGCTGTGTCTGGATTTTTTCCCCCTTTTTGGTACTGGGGATTGAACCCAGGGGAGCTTAACCACTGAGCCACATCCCCAGACCTTTTAATTTTTTTAAAATTTTGAGACAGGGTCTCACTAATTTGCTGACGCTGGCTTTGAACTTGTTATCCTCCTGCCTCAGCCTCCCGAGCTGTTGGCATTACAGGCGTGTGCCACCTGTACCCAGCTTTCATTTTTATTTTGAGACCAGGGTCACACTATGTTGCTTAGGATCTCTCTAAGTTGCTGAGGCTGGCCTCAAACTTGTGTTCCTCCTGTCTCAGCCTCCTGAGTTGCTTGGATTATAGGCATGTTCTACTCCACCTGGCTGTGCCTGGATTTATAAAATGGCTCTAGAGATTGACCTCATACCTGATGTTGAGGACAGGCACAGCTGCTTCAAGACAGTGATACAGATCCTATGGGGCTGATAGGAGGACAACAGAGAATCCAGGAGCACCTTATAGGCAGCTTGGCCATACCCCACAATATAGAGATGGGGAAGGGGCTTGTACCCCTGCCTCTTTGGTTGCCTGGGTCTTCCCTTGGCTACCAGATCCACAAGCTGTGGATTTCAGGGTAGGTGGAGATGGGAACTCTGTGGCCCCATGAGGCCCTCCCAGTCACCTGTCATGAAGGTTAGGCCAGGTGGTGGGAGGTGATGTCACCCTGCTGCCCAGCTGGGACCAAGCAGGGTGTGGGAGGGAGAGAGCAAAGTCTAGAGGACAGGATGAGGGAGGGCTGGTAGCTGGCCAAGGCAGACTTCATGGTCCATCAGGGTTTCTGGGTGCAGAGAAAACAGGTGGCTTGTTATCTGTGGTTATGGACTTCACTTCTCACAAATCTCTGCAAGGTGACCTCCATATGCTAGTCTCAGACTAACCTGTGATGGAGAGAGGAGATGGAGGGACCTTGGGCTAGGTGAATATTCCTTGTTACACGAGGGCTACAGGATGGAATTAGGACAGGTATGGACCCACAAATCTGGACTTGAACCCTAGCTTGGCTCCCTCAGCCAACAGACATTCATGAGGCACTTGCTGTACAAACCGCAGTGGTTAGGGTGCTAGAGATACTGATTTAATAGTATCTCCTGATTCAACACGCCTCATGGAGGTACAGGGAAGGCACAGTCTCTTGTTGGACAGCAATTGTGAAGTGATATTTAAGCCCCAGAATTATAAATGAGAAATGGGGCCGGGTTGGTAAGAAGTTTAAAACAGCACTCCAGATGGCCATAGCCTGGGCCAAGGCCCCTATGTGGCTTGCTGCACCAGGCAGTTTATGATGAAGTTGGTGGGGTTAGAACAGCCTTAGTGGTGGAGAGTGTAGGGCCAGGGAGATGGGCCTGGGGTATGTCCTTGACTGTGGGCAAGTTATTCACCTCTCCACCTTCCTCTCCTCACCTCTAACATGGGGTAATAATAATCAGAGAACTCCCATCCCCAGCTAGTTGTGAAGATTCAATGTGACATAGTAGGCAACTCTTCCAGGCAGCCGGTGCTTTATAAGTTCCAACTAGTGACAATAAGATAACAAATAACCCAATCAATAAATGGGCCAAGGACCTGAACAGACACTTCTCAGAGGAGGACATACAATCAATCAACAAGTACATGAAAAAATG